ACCTATTGCAATAAAACGGCAATTTCATACTTTAACCCCTAATATTACGTATATAGCCCTAAATATTTAATTTTTAGTACCAGTAAGTGAAAGAGTTCGTCCAGGGAAGTACTGCCTTATCTATGTCTTGTCAACTTTGTCTCCGGGTGACGGACGCAGAGGCAATGACCCTAAGATCTTAGCGATTTAAAGCTCTTTATGACACCTACAATGGATAGGCGTATCGCTTACCACCAGGAGCATGAGCTGTTCGTCCCGTCACTTGGTATTTAAATAAAATTAAAATTTGGTTATTAGATGAAGAAAGGTTATTAGATGTTGTACTAACGGCCCACTATGTCCTAAGCCATGGAAAATAGGTGGCCCGTGCAGTAGACATAAGCGAAATCCATGTCTGTAGGAAACTCTGGGTACTCCTAATTGACGACTTACTTCGTTTAAACAGTTGAGCTATAACAAAATCGCATTAAATAATTGAATACTTGTGTCAACGTGTCAAACCAGATAATATTTTGAAAAAACATCACTCAAAAGTACTTGCCAAGGCTGTGTCTCTTGGCGGTATGTGACCCTAAGCGACCAGTTACACGAGGCGAAAGTTTTTGCGCGGTAACTGCCCAGTTACCTTTTTTTTACGGGGGGAAATCTTTATAGATACCCCTAAGCCCAGGGAGACTCAGGGGTTATGTGGAGACTCTCCCTCCATAAAGGAGGGCCTACTCCACTAAAACCCCCCCGGGTTTACCTCCCGCCGGTTGAGTCGGCGCCGGGGGGTTGGTGCACATTCACCACGACGCCGCCCGGCCGCCTTAGCTTGCGCCCGGGCTCCCGCACCAACGGAGGGGCAGGTCAGTTGTCCGACAATTGCCCAGTTACCTCGCCTTCATGTACATTAATGGCGAATCTGAATTCTATTTACTAGGCAACAACATTTAAATTCCTCTGAATAATACAACCGCGCGATCGCCGCCCGGCCGCCGCGTTGACCAAATTCAAGCTTGCCTCGCCTACGTGTTCGGGACGCTCACATAAGTTAAAACGTGAAAGCTAAATAAATAGAGCGTATTTTGCCATGGCAGTTAGCGCACGTGGCAAATGTTGTTGCTTAGTAAACATAATTCGGATTCGCCATTAATGTACACGAAGCTGTGGGAAGTGCGTGGTCGCCGCGCGGCAGACGCGTGATAACTTTCGCCTCTTGTACCCGGGCGCTAAGGCATCGTGCAAACATTGTGTCTTGTGTTAGATACGAGCAACCGGCAACTAGTAGCGAGCATTCTATTTTCAAACAATTGCGATTGCGGCAACCGGCGACAGTGTCTTTTTTAAATGTAACGATTTATTCAGTTCACTAGAGCCATGGTGTTAGTACTTAAAATACAAAAACAAAAACGCAAAACATTTGTAAAGAAAAGACAATCCCATAAGTACAATATCAGCCGCAGTGTCAATCATCTAATCCTGCCTATGCACTGTGGTTGCTCCGTAGGTCATAAATGATGAAAATGAGGGTTCAAATCTTTGATATATTTATACATTTCAATAAACTGGTACTTTATACATGCCAATGATTTATTTTAAAAATCATCTGAACTAAATAGAACACGTATTATATATGATATACACATTTCAAATGGCTTTAATTTCGTTTGTAAAAAAAAATAAACTCTGAAATAAAGCTTGACTCCCCACCGCTGGACCCAAGCAAAATGAACCGCATTTCGAGTGTGGATTGAAAAGTTCGCGGCCTAACGAAGAAAATAAAGTAAAATGCTTACAAAAATATTTTTATTTTTTGACTTGATCTCCATCTAGGTCTATGCATTTCGTTCACCTGCTTTCTAAAGCTTCTACATCAGTTTTAAAAAAGATTCTTCAAAGTCTTAAAAATACCTATTTAATAAGCAGCATTAAATGGGCATTTTTAAGACTTTGAAGGATCTTTTTTTACACGACATCTACATTCGATAAAAATGTCTGGTTAATAGTGTGGTGTTTTTTTTAGATTTGAACAGGTGAAAATCCGGAGGTGCTAAGCCAAGAAAATAAGCCGAGTGGGACAGTAATTCGAAACCACAATAAGAAATTTTAACCATGGATTCTACAGAAGTGTGACCGCGGGCATAATCCTGATGGAAGAACACTTTTATCCTGAGTAAATCTGAGCGTTTCTCTTTAATTTCTTCGCGCAAACGACGCAAAAGGATACAATAGTATTCTGAGTTAATGATTTTGCCTTTCAAAAGGTAGTCCACTATGATGACATCAAAAATTTCACATGGCATTCCAAAAAAACTGACGCCATCACCTTGCCAGCCGACAAAACCGCTTTCGCTTTCTCTGAAGTCGGTTCACCAGGTCTTTTTCACTGTCTTTACTGTTGTTTGGGCTCTGGGGTATAGTGATGTACCCAACTTTCATCCATTGTCACAAATTTGTTTAATAAACTTTATGGTTTAGTCTCATACTCTCTCCAAACAATCGCGAGAAATTAGCGAGAATGTCGCGAGCCGAATACGCCCTTGGTCCACTGAAAACAACCCGGGGAGCCACTTAGCAGAAACCTTGTAAAATCCAAGTCCGTTGACAATTGTTTTATGTCCGCTCATACAAGATAGTGTCTGAAATCTCCTTAATAGTCAAACTCTTAAGGAGACTTCCATAACGAGATTACACCTTTTCACTTTTCCTGAGTCGTAGACGCCGTGGACCGGCTAGACCTAGACTCTTCGTCGATGGTTTCTGTCCACGTTTGAAATCTGTAATTTTTATTTTTATAGTCGTATACGATGGAGCAGATTCCCTTAATGTTGTTTCCATGTCACTATTAAACAAGTATTTTATAACAACGTTGTTCAGTTTTCTCAATTTTTTTAACCGACTTCAAAAAAGCAGGGGTTCTCAATTCGTCTGTATGTTCTTTTTTTGTATGTATGTTACGCGATAACTCCGGTATTTGTGAACCGATTTCATGATTCTTTTTGTTGGAAAGGGGGTACTTCCATAGTGGTCCCATTTAATTTTGAAGAAAATCATCCACCTCTAAGGGTGGCTGTTCACGCATGAAGATTCATTTTTATAAATAGCGCCTAACTTTAATTTAGGAGCAATTACTTTAACGGTTGATTTTGCTATTTCTCCAATTCAATTCGTTTTTCTCTCAATATACTTTGAGTAGTGAGAACCGATTTTTATTATCTCCAGTGCAGTGTCAAGTCCTGTATAGTGGCGAACTAGGGGATATTTCAATAAAACTTAGTAAACAGACGTAATTCCACTTACTTTTGAGGTCGGTTTTTTTAGTACTCTGTACTGAGATTATTTATTAAATCGTAGCACTAGGTCTCAGTAAATTCGCTCTAATTTCAAAACCACCAATACTACACCAATAAAATTTTGCAAAAAAATGAAAGTATGAATTAAATGAAAAAAAAAAATAGATTAAGTACTTCCACGGAAGAAAGTTACTATATGTGGTCTGTAAGTATTTCTATGTGAGGCCGCGAACTTTTCAATCCACACTCGTACTAAGAGAATTCGAGCTGAGTAGTAAGTAGTATCGACTTTTAATGAGAATAAAGTATCTTTGAACCTAGAGCAAGAAAAATATATAAATATCTACATTAGTAACAATATAAATCACACACACACAAAAAAACACATTCAACATAAGGATTTATAAGAGCTGATATTTAAAGCCTTTGCAAAGCTCTGTCCTGTCTATTGGCCAGTCTTCTCAGTATGCTACGGGGGTTTCCAGCAATCTGCGTCTTACTGACACATTTTTTACATATTAGCATAAAAACATGTATGTACATCCGCAAACGTTCCAAAAGCACCGCAGTAACTGGATAACCCGCCTTACTTTCTCAAACTCGTATCTCATAAAGAGTGATTATTCAGGAAATGGCAAAACTTTCTATTTATTTTGAATTTCGGAGGGTGTTGATTTGGACGCATTACTTCAAGAATAGGTAAAAGTCAGTGTGTGAATATAAAGGAAATGTGATGTGAAACCAGCTTGCAAAAAATACAAATTATTTGAATATGCAATCCATTTTTAGCATTTCCGTAACTTTGTGCTTTGAGATACGAGTTTGAGAAAGTAAGGCGACGTTATGTCATTATTAGGACACGTAGCTCATTGAAAGTCCTTTGGTTATACGGCCTTGCCTACAAGCTACAGTAATGCGATTGACAATATAATTTGAACAATGACACTTGTACTCCAACTGTTATATTTAATATTATACTATAATAAAGTCAAAGTCAAACAATCTTTCTTTCGTAGGTAAGCAACTTGCACTGGAATTGTCATACTGATTAAACTCTACTGCTCATTCGTAAGACAGATTCCCCAGAGAAGAATGAGTAAGAAACTCTAGGGGTAGCTCTTTGTAAATACACATTTGAATACATTTATCATTACAATAATTAATTTGAACATCTTAGATCGAGACTACCTGCAAAAGTTAAATGAGACACTGCCACGGATTTTTGTCATCCAAGTAAGCAGAGGCTGTGTAACATATAACCTTTAATCTACAGTTTTTTGTTTCACTATACTTTGAAACCTCGTAATTGGCAAATTTTGAATATCAATCGAAACCTTAGTATAGACGATTATACATTGCCCCTTAAATGAATTCGAGAGTTTGTGAAAACAACTGAAGTCAAGAACAGCTACTTTATTTTAATTCCTCTTATTAATGCTGTTTTACATACATAAATAATATATTCATAAAAGTACTGTGACGTTAGTATAAGAATGTAAGTCTCTTTAATGTCTATATAAAAAATATGAATATAATAGGTAACCACTCACCAACATGATTTGCGTATGCATTAAAGTAAAACCGACAGCAATACATATTATAGGGCCCATAACTATCCCAGCTTGACTGACTGCTAACGGAATGCCGAGAAAACCAGGACCAAAGCCAAGCCTGATTAAGTTGAAGTACGCCATCCATGGTCTAGCAAAACAGTACATTTATCATGAAAACAAAAAAGTCAGGCAGAATTTTCACCAGTAAAATGTTATCACATTATTATGCTAATGGATTTCTTCGTCTGCATTCCAATTTTCCAATACGGAATGGATTAGAAAGGCGTATGAGTATAGAGGCGTTTTACAAATGAAAAATTTACATTGGTGGGGATTGTTACATTATTTCGTTATAAGAAATGCTATGTGTGGACAAAATAAAACACTGAATTCCACCTTTTACATACCAAACTTGTGATATGACAACACTATTTGAATCGATCGCCAGCGCCAATTTCAAAATATCCCGACGTAAATTAGTAATATTTTCATTAAATAGTGAAGCTCTACACCATTGACTTACAAATAAATGGACGACGGGTCTAATACAAAAACCACGAAAAAAATGTCCCAAGTCAACCTATTTAAACGTAGTGACATGTAAAGGAATATGAAAAAGCTAAAACGTTGAATTTAAATTGTAATGTCATCGCAGTACTGTCTAATTTTGCTTGCTTCGTTGTCAGTCGAACAAACGCAGACTAAAGCGTGAATGACGCTCTGTATACGATTTTTAACGCCCTATAAGTTCGGACACTTTTTAGCGCGGACCCGACGTCCATATAATTGTAAGTCAATGCCCTACACCATAATATTTTATTTTTACAAAATAGGTATTTATGAAAAAGTATGACTATTCTCGTCATTGGAATATATTCTCTGGTGGTTGTGAAATAAAAGGAACATTAAAAGTTTGGATTAAATAAATAACGCTCACTCATAGCCCCACATAATGTGAGTGCCATAGACACAAACATAAACAACAACAAATTACACCAGAAATATATGTGATAATGTTAGTTGACCCTCATAGAAATAATGATTCTATTGTAAATGTGCACTTTTTTAAATAAATGATTTTTTTCATGTTTGATATACATATGAATGTATTAATTTTTCCATCTATATTAGTTGATCTACGGATAATTTATAAATGAACTGTATTCAAGCTATTATTAAGCATACTAAATGAATATATGGTATTCAAAAATAATATTTGATCCTCTTTTTTAGCATAGGTCTTTTCTTCGAACGATTGATGACATTTATATTCGGTAGCGGCCGGTGAGTGCCAGAAGCCAATTTTCTTGCATTTCCGAACATGTTTTCAGGTCAAATTATATTATAATTAATGTAATATTAGCATGCAAATATAATCAACATTAACTAAGTTTAAAAAAATCAAAATCTATCAAAATTTTATTTTTAATGCTTATTTTTTCTTAGTTTTGAGGCTCAACATAAAATTATCATAATAAATATATACAAATCAAACATTTCTTGCGTAGCTCAGAACAGATTAAAATATAGTTCGATTTAATTTATTTTATGTCACCGAGAAAAAAGGATCACTCATTAAAAAAGATGTCCGTTTTGAAGTTTTTTGGCTGCTGCTTTTGCAATTTTAAAATGCTTATTTAAATACACGCCGAAATAAACGAAGGCCATACAAATATTTCTCCCGGCCAGGAATCGAACCTTGGACCTCTGCGTGGTAGACCAACATGGTGGCCATTCAGCCACAGAGGCTGTTAAAAGATTACCCAGCAGAAATGTAAAAACTATGTGCGATAGGCAGAGATAATACATAATATAGTTCTTTATGTGGCATAAATTATTGTAAAATTTACTTCACTGGGTTAACCGGAGTTCTACATTTCCTTGGATCGAAATTGCCAGTATCAGGGGGTACAAATGGTAGCCGAACTGTCAGTATGTTGACAGTTACTCCCGACGCTCTCGATCCCAGTGGAAATTGTGTCCTGCTTACGAAATCATATGCCGCCCTGTGAAAACGATTTCAAACCAGTGAGAATAAGAAACGCTTGTGGCGCATTTAGTTATCCTTCGTGCCCTGACATGATAGAGAACTCCTTAAAACTATCCATGGTACCGCGTTGAATTGCTTTTTGTTTGCCTTTATCTAATAAAGGAGACAATGAAACTATTTGTGTAGACGTTCGTAGCGTCGGTCGTAACCCTCACACACGACGAGCTACGGCGTAGCACACGTATACGAATACGTCGATGGCGGTGGTAAATTATTGCCTTGCATAATATGTAATTATAGAGATTTACCTTTTACAGCCCAAGCCCAACCATCCTCGACTTGAATGTATGCAAACAAACAATTTTCGCAAATTTCCACTAAATACTTAATAAAATTTGCACAGTAACAATTATATTGTATATTATATTTATAATTATAAATTATATGCGTTATTAAATTCTACTTACATTATTTAAGTTATGTTTCGGTGTAAATGTATATAAATATGAGGAAAACTCGGTAATAATTGCATATATTTTGTACTATATAATAAAACAATAAAAGGTTTGTGCTCAAAAATTCTCATAGATTATGTTTTTTTTTTCCATCCTATAGGAAAATTCTTGTGATTTTTTTCATCTTTCTTGACTTTTCGCGATTAGCGTTTTAGCCACTTACAAAGTGTTTTGACTAAACCTGTTCTTAAAACGGGAACACTTACTTTATCATGATAATGAAATATCGTGGTAGTCATAGATTTAGTATTTAGTGGTTGTACTAGATAATAGTTTTTTTTTTAATATAGATAAGAAAAATTAATTTAATATTAATTTTGCAAACAAATCTCTTTTATAATAAATCAATAGATCTGCTGATTGCTTAGTATTAACATAATAACGTGAATATATATTGCAAACGATGTTTTATAAAGTATTTATTACGAAAGGTAAAAAAGGACAAAGGAGGATGGAAAAAAGAAAGGTACACAATTGACAGAGATGTTAGGAAAATATGTAGTTGCTAATGGCTAAGATACATAAACCACAAAGCATGCTTAGAGGACGGAAAAAAAAGGCTGATTGACATGATTTCACTCTTCTGTCAAATTCTTAGACTATGGAAACTAAAGGACATGTTACGTTGACATATATAAATCAGACGTTATATGTATATGATGCATTTCGACGTCGAAAACATAAACATATTATTGTCTTTGTTTAACTATTACGTGCCGTCTTAAGCCAAAAGAGATAGCATTACATTGGTCTGTGTCAAACACGGGAATCGAAAATTCGTAACGTCATTTTAAATGCCAACCGTGGCCATTTCAAGTACATGAGGTACATGATACCGTTGTCAAAGGGAAGTACATCAAATGTCAAAACAAATGTTTTTCCAAATGTATTATTGAATTATTCACATGTATTATAATTAAATTGGACAAAAATATTGACAGTGAGAATAATTAGGTATTAATAAAAATGCGAAGCTGCAGCATTAAAGGATGCGGCTTTAGAAAAACTGCAAATCAATCGAATGTTACATTGCACAGGCATGTGTTATTTTTTTGTCTATAAATCACACAATAGCCCGAATATTTTATGTAATTAGACTTATTTAAGTAGTTTATTTATAAATCTTGCCAAATTTTGCTTTTGTTACTTTAGATTGCCTGTTTGTTTGTATATTTTGATGATTGTTGTTAACGATTATTTTGAGATAGTGTTGATCTTGTAAGCATACATATTATCGATATTCTGTTATTAAAACAATTAACTATGAGGTTTTTATTGTTTTATTATTATTATTTCAAGTTTTCCTACAAATGAAAAAAGGAAGAAAGAATGGTTGGAAATCATAGGACTGCCGAATATAAACGTTGGATCAAAGACCATCTTCATTTGTTCGCTTCATTTTGAAGAGTCAAATTTTAACAGAACTTTAAATGTAACTAGATTACATGACAATGCTATTCCATCATTAGGTTTATTGGTAAATAATTTTATGTTCAATTTAGATTAAACAAGACTCATTTACTAGCTATTCTCAGTTCCTGAAAACAAAATTATCCACTCGTTTCTGATTTTTCCCAGTGACAACTCTAACTATTAAAAATGACTATTTTTTTAAAGCCTGCAATACAATGACAACATACCAACGTATAGACAGCCTATTTGCCTTGCCTTGCCTTGTTCGGTGTCACTCGCCTAGCTGACCGAGTGAAGGCGAGCGCCAACGTGTATAGAGTTCATTCGGCTTATCACAAACCAAAGGCGCTCGACCAATAGCGTTCACACGTTAGCCCGTCCGCATATGAAATGCATACTGGTTTTATAACTCTATTCAAAAAAAAATCAAAACACAAAATAAAGAAGTATATATTATATATCAACAAAATGTCATGTTGTTCTGTTTCTGGAAATGGGGTAATAAAGTTTGTATGGTAACTTTTTAACACGTGGTGCGATTTGGTTCATACTTGAATATTTTTCATTTGTATAAAAATTGTACGCGGACGAAGTCGTGGGGAAAAGCTAGTACATGATAATTGTTGATTTCCGATAATTGATTTTTACAACTACTTCCATTATTTCTGTATTAAAATTGCTTGATAGATTCATTTGCTTAAGAAAGCCCGGGAATTAACGGGAATACTAGAATCCGCAAAAACCTGAATAGACTTGTACTTGACGGTTAGTTAAAAGACGTTATGTAAATATGTACTAAAATGTAGGTTAAAGGCGTACCTCTTAAAGTAATTTTTATATTTTATTTAGTAAGTACAATTAATACGTAATGTTAAATACAAGTAAAGTAGGTATAATTAAGCAAGAATGCGCATGTCGCCAACAAACTGCACAGCAGTTTGGTGACTTTTACTAAATAAGTTACCAGTTGTAATGTTGAAAATAAATTTTTTTTGAAGTTTAAAAATGTGTGTTGACATTTATAATAATATACCACTCGAGATTAAATTATCAGACTTGTGTATGTTTAGGCATACTTTGGTTACAGTAAACTAAAGAAACAAAAATTCAAGCCATACATTTGCATGTCGATAATGACTTATCGATAGATTATGGTACAACACTAAAGAAATCCGCCATTTGTAACTTTCAAATTTTGGTAATATGCACGTTGATTCTGTACTTAGGGCAGCTCCTTTCTTTTATTTTTTTCCATCCTCTAAGGTCAAATTATATTATAAGGGCTAAACTTTTTTTTTCCATCCTAAGAGCTAACTTAGAGGATGGACAAAAAAATTCCATAGTCTAAGTGAGCAAAACTGTAAGGAACAAAAGCCTATAGAATGGAAAAAAAAAAGAATTTTAAGTAGATTATTTTATTATTTATGTAATTTTTGCTAGAATGGAAAGAACTTTTGCAATAAGTTTTCAATTCCATCCTCCAAGGTTTTCACCCATTTATTTGGGTAGGCAAAGATTCTACCATACAGCCTCTTCATATTTTTCTAGTTTTAATGAAAAAGGTGACAAGCGTCCGTTCTTAAATAATTTACTTCATATAATCTAATCTCATGAAGGGTTGATGCTATAATAATTGTATAGAACGGGTGTAGAGCGTCAATTTATATATGTTTTTGATTTGCGGTTTTTGTTGCAGAATAACTCCTTTTACCATAGTCACAAATAGTCAACAATATTGTCTAAACTATTGTATAAATGCTAAGTTCATTTTACGCTTTAAACAAGGGAGGTTTCAATTAAAAAAAAACAATTTTGACGAAATCACGCGAATGAACTTGATAGCTTTTACTGTGATATCAAGTGAGGGGATGAACAAGTCGTGCGCTTGGTTAAATGCAGCGACACGCCTACCCATGATACTTTCAGTACCATTCAGAGCTTTAAATCGCAGACCTGAGGAGCACTGCCACTGTGCTCGTCACCCTGCGACATAAAGTTGACAAGATTAATAGCAGTAGAGCTCCTTGAAAGAAAGAAAGAAAAAAAGAAAGAAAAACGTTTATTCACACATTTAAGTCACTTTACATCCCTAAATTATAAACATAACATTAAATTGATAGCTATTTATTAAATAATCTATAAATAAGAATGCAAAGTGACACAAAAGAGGAAAAGGAGACGACTCAGCAAAAAGTCTATCTCTGGCGAGAGAGACGCTGATTTTCAGTCGTTCCTGTTGCATCATCGACTGGATGTTGAGAGAGCGGTACATATTATTATGTTGTGTGTATCCTCTGTTGTGACATATATATTCTTAATTATTTTCAATACGAAAACCTTAAACCTTAGTATTATATAACAATTAATATTTTAAATCTGTCAATAAGTATTTACTACTAAAGAAACACGGACCTACAACAGCGTAATCATGTAAATAGAAATATACAACTTTAAGCATTACATTGGTATGTTAGTGCACATAAATATAACAAGCTGGCTAGACTAAGAAACTTCCGACATCAGAGCATACGCTGCTTTTCCAATAACATAATTTTCAGTTGTTTTTTGAATGCCGATTTAGAGATTGGTTGTCTAAGTGGAGGAGGCAAATTGTTCCAGCATTTAGATGCCTGATACCGGAAGCTACCCTCAAAAGCTCTTGTCTTGTGGAATGGTGTCACCAACAAAAAACTATCTACCCTGCGTGAATTATAAGCATAAGTAGCCCATTTTAATTTGGCATACAAATATGGTGGACTTTTATACCGGACAATGGAGTGCATCAGTGCAGAAAAGTGCAAAGTCCTTCTGGATTCCATGTTCAAGATATTGCGTAGGTTTAGCACAGGTGTTATGTGACTTCTGAATGGTACTTTACAACAAAATCGTATGCAGGCGTTTTGTACACGCTGTATAGTTTTTTTTGAAGTGGAGAGAAGACAGGGACCAAATACAACATCCGCATAATTTAGTTTTGATAAGACAAGGGATTCAC